CTGAGCAACTACATCAAGGACAGCAATGTGTAATGCAAAGACCGTGGTTGAATATCTCTCATCTTGGTCTTCTAAATGTGTGCTGTTTCTAATGCCTTATCAAGTATTATACTCTCCTTAAAATAAATTAAAACAAAAAAGACAAGGAAAAAATTAAGATTTCTTGAAAGCAAGTGTCGATATTCAATTATTTCCCCAATCTACACTATATCTGATAATCTGAGCAACAGATTTGATGGTAAAAATAGGTAACAACCATTGTTAATTGGCTATTCCTTATTTGAAAATCTATAACATATGCACTGTTGTATGTTACCCTGTTTCTGTCTCCTTTTTCTGTTCGTTTTTGTTTCTGGTTTTACTCTTCAAAATTAAATTAAATTAATTTTTTAAAACAAGAAAGTGGTCATGTCTACATTGCACAAAGTAAGGCTGAAGACAAGGATACTGCATACCATAAATAGGGTTATTTTATAATGATAAGGTAAATTCTTGAGTGAGCTATAACAATCCTAAACATGTATGTTAATAATAATAAGTTTTTTAAAAATGCTCAAAACAAATATTAACGGAACTGAAAGAAGAAATAGAAAAATTCAGTCTTAGAGATTTCAATACTCCTGTCTCAGGAATAGATGAGTAAACAGAAAAGAATCAGCAAAGATGTGGGTTTGAGCAACACTATAAAACAACTTACCCTAATTGCTTGTCATGAAGCACTATACTAAGAATTACAGGATGTACATACTTTCCAAGTGTACGTGGAGGATTCACTGGGATAGACCATATGCCAGACCATAAAACAAACCTCAATAAATGTTGAAGGAATAAAACCATTGGGAATATGTTTTCTGGCCCAAGCATAATTAAATTAGAAATCAATAACAAGGATAATGAGACAAAGTACAAACTGCCACCATCAGGCATGAGACGACATCACCACAGTTTCAAAAGTCATTTTGAAATGGTAAAAAAAATATTATAGACAACTTCATGTTAATAAATTCAAAAACAGATAAAAATAAACCAGTTCCTTGGGTCAAGGGGGCACAAGTTATTAAACCAACACAAGAGAAAATAAAAAATCTAAATGTCTCTGTGTCTATTAAAGAAATTGTATTCATAATTAAAAATCTTACACACCTACGCAATCACTGGGTCCAGATGGCTTCATTGATTAATCCGTCAAACATTAAAGTTAGAAAGGATACCAGAAAACAGATAAAGAAAAAAGACTTTCTAACTTTTTTTGTGAGATCAGCACAATCCCACTACCAAAATTTGATAAGGACATTACATGAAAAATAAATTAATTACAATATCCCTCCTAAGGAGTGCAAAAAATGCTTCATGAAGCATTAGCAATCGATAGAGCAATATTTAGAGGATAATAAATCAAGTCCAAGTGGGGTGGATCCTAAGAATACAGGATGGGTCCAGCATCTACAGACCAATCAATATCATTCACCATTTTAGTAAAATAAGGCAGAGAAATCATGTGATTGTCTCCATAGAAGCAGATTGCACACCTGCCAAAACATAGTATTTGTTGGTGATTTAAAAAAGAAAAAGCCTTCAGCAAATTAAAAATAGAACAGAACTTCTTCAGTCCAACAAAAACGTCTAAGAAAAAAAACATATGCCTGACATATTTAATAGCAAACTTTTTCCTCCCAAAATCAAGACAAGAATATCCTCTCTCCAGTTTTTTTCCAACTTCATACTGGAATTTCTAGCTGAAGGCAGTGAAGCAAGAATGAAGACTAGAAATGAAGAAGTAAATTTTAGCTATTAAAAAAAACAAAAAGTACTACTGGCACATGCAAGAGCACGAATCAATCTCAAAACATTATGCTGATAAAAAGAAGTCAGACACAAAGGAATGTACACTTTATTATTCTATTTATATAAAACCCTAAGACAGGCCAAAATGGTTTATAATGACAGAAAGCTGTTCAGTGATTCCCGGAGGGCTGGTGAGGAGCAAATGACTGTAAGTAGGGAAATTTTCAAAGTTATTAGAAATATTCTGATCGTGATTATAATGATTACCATGAGAATATATGTTTTTAATTTTGCTAAATTATACATTAAATTGATGCATTTGGTATACATAAACTATACCTTAATGAAATTGATTTTAAAAGTAGGGGAAAATAGATACAATTAAGAAAATGAAAAGGTAAGCCACAGGCTATAAGTGACACAGAGAGAATATTCACACTACATATATCTGACAAAGGACTTGAATCCAGATGATGTGAAGAGCTCTTCTGAATCAATAGTAAAAGTGAAAAATCAACAGAGTGTTTTTGATGGGTATAAGACTTAGACACTTCGCACAAGATAGTATCTGTATATGAATGTTCAGTGTATTCAGACAGTTATCTCAAAACCGTGAATCATCAGGAAAGCGTAACTACAGCAATGTGACACTGCTGTACACCTACAAGAAGGACCCAACTCAAAACAATGACAAAGTCAAGATCTGGCATGGATGTGAAGACACTACAACTCCTATATACTCTTTTTTATGTTTAAAAATCATTTAATGTTTTATTATTATATTTGAGATGATTCCAATGCAGAACACTACCATGGTAGCAAACATATTTTAATCAATAGTAATATGGAGCAAGAATTTCTTTAAAAGTACTAAATGATAAGCTTTGTGATTTTTTAAATCTAGCTTTGTATTTTTTTTCCATAATTTTATTTATAGCAATGAGACAGCTTCAAACCAAATTGGTAGGACAGTTTCAATAATTCACACATTGCATACATTCTTCCTAGTGGTTAATTGTTGTACAAGATGCGGACATGATATCCTATTTACAAACACCACTAGAACAAATCACTCTATTCATTAAGAAAATGTAACTATATATCTGTCCTAACCATTTTGAATACACAGATACAAAATGGACATTCATCTGTATCCCCTCTTTTTGTTAAGTTCCGTTATTTGAATATTATGTGTATAAACTCAGCAAAATATTCCAAAAGAGACCAGTAGCCCATAATAGTATTGGGTCTTCCGCTTGACTGGCAATGTCAGAAATTGTTGACCTGAGTCCTCTACAGCTCAACATAACAGCATGGCTTTACTTCTTATATTTCGTTTTTATACTTTTCTGCTGGATGGTCAAGACCAAGGTAAAGCAGGACCTATGCAACAAGAGTTGTAGCTTTTTGGTCTGAGAAGGTCAGTGAAATGCCCTCAGGATTTATCCTGAGATCCTGTACCTCAGATTGTAGAACCTTTGTCAGTGTCAGCCACGTGGATGAGTCACAGCCATTGCCTGGCCAATGTGCTCTCTGTGAAAGCCTGAGAGAATGTTTTCTCTCCATGTGACTCTCCTTAGGCATACTCTATATCATCGATAGCCAAATCTTGGAAACAACCAAGATGCCCATCATCTGAGGAATGGTTGAAAAAGATGTGGTATTTTTACACAATGGAGTATTATTCAGCTATTAAGAATGATAAACTCGAAGCCTTTATATTGAAATGGATGCCACTTGAAAATATACTCAGAAGTGAAATAAACCAGATACACATGTGTAAATATCGTATAGTTTCCCTAGTATAAGAACTCAAAAGAAGAAATAAGAATAGAAAGGTATAATACAAGTAAAAGGAAAGCAAGATCTCAAGGACTAACTAATCAAGAGAAGGAAAGGAGAAGAGCTAGGAAACCTATATACTCTTGATGGGAATATAAACAGTAGGACCACTTTAGATGGTAGTTGGGCAATGCCTTGTGAAATTATACCTATATCTAACTTGTGCATTCCACTCCTGGCCATTTACTCAAGAAAAACTAAAGCACATGCTCACAAAAATAACTTATAAATGAATATTTATAGGGTCTTTCTCATAATTTCCAAAAACTGCTAACCATTTCGATACCCATCATCAAGTGAATAGACAAACAAACTGTTGTGCATTCATGCATTGAAAAACTGCTCCACAGTAAAAAGGAATGGAATCCTAGTGCAGGCAACCATGGGAATCAATCTCAAAAACATCATGTTGAGTGAAAGACACAAAAGAGGAATAGTGTGAGCTTTTATCAGAAGTTTGAAAATAAACAAGCCAAGCTATGAAGGCAGAGTTTATAACAGTGACTGCCTGGATGGTAGATGGACCGATTGAAAGAAACAAAACTTGGAACTTGCTAGAGGGATAAAAAGGTCCCATGTTTTGTTGGTGCAGGAGTTACATACAAATATATTTGAGGCTGAACACACAGTAAGTGCTCAACAACCATGAATTCTCCCATTCTTTACCCTCACCAGGAAAATATCAAAGATGTTCATTTTATGTTGATTGGGTTTGGTTTTTTGGTACTGGGGAGTTGAACCCAAGGTCTTCATACAAAACTATATCCCCAACTCTTTTTTCTAATACTTTCATTTTGAGACCAATCCTGCTAAGTCACTAAATTGTCCACACTGGGCTCTAACTCGCAATCCTGCTTCAGGATTCCAAAGTGCTGGGAACACAGGCATGTGCCACCATACCTGGCAGATGTTAGAAACCTATTTAATGTCATTGGACCCTAGAGAATAGGACTATCATCTTCCCCAAAGGGGCACTGTCCACATCATTATCAGGATCATAAATAATAACCTAAACCTACTTCATCCTGAATCTACCTATGGGTTTTGTCATCCACATCTGGCTCTAGGTTTCTAATATCCCAAGCCAAGATGGCAGAATTTCATTGAGTCAGTCCAAGAGACTGCAGATGGCAGAGTGGAAACAGGTAAGAGACTCTGAGAGGACTGATGTTTAAGTCCTCTTAAGCGAAGATTATAAAAGATAAAGACATCTCAGGCCCAGAGGTTGATGGTCAGTGAAGTTGAGATTGGCCCATCACCGATGGTCAGTAAGCACTTGTTGATTAACAGGGTGGGTGAACGAGGCAGAGCCTGTGGAGGCAGAAGCAGCGGCACCCTCCAGGACTGATGGATGCCCTACTCCTGTCTTGCAGCTCACATACCTGCCCCCACCCTGGGGTGAGTGCCGATCCTCAGAGATGGGGCTCGACTTCTTTCCTGTTTACAGTATCACCGCCTGTCGCATTGACTGTGAGACGCGCTACATTGTGGAGAACTGCAACTGCCGAATGGTCCACATGCCAGGTAGGTGCCAGGCCTTCTTTGCACTCCCTACTCTGTGAGAAAAACATCCCCCACTCCACTAGGACCAGGAGAGGGCATGTGTCTAGGAAGACTCTGTTACTCAGTGACTGAACATGTAGAAGCCAGAGAAAAGCATTCAGCCCAGAAGCCAAAGCAGCATCCCAATGTTCAGATGTGAGAAGGACACTCACCCCAGTGTTCAATGTTTGCCAACTGTTTGCCACTTTGACCTCTTAGAGTTTAGTGGCCAGATAGGTGGATCCTCGCAGTTCTTACAACCTGGTGTGATACGTGTTTGAACATCCAGATGTTTATTACTGTCATCCAGATGTTTCCCTTCTTGGATCCAAATGTTTAACATTCTTTCAAGAAAGATAAAAGTCTATTAGCCAGCAAATAAATGTGTATATACTAACACTTCTGTTGTCAGATTAATAAAACATGTAGCCACCTCATTAGAGGCAATTGGCATGTCAGAAGCAGAAGTGTGGAACAGGCACAGGGTTGGGGTGGAGTTTGTGTGGCTGCACAAAAGGATAATTTGGGCTGGACCCAGGCCTCTTAGCCTCTGCTTCAGGCTCCTCTATTCAATTACTGGGTGACCTTTACAAATTGGTGAAACCCACTTTCTCATTTTCATCATCTTTAAAACACAATCAGCTGTTACAAGGATAAAATTAGGCTAGGATATGAAAATGGATTGCAAACCACAAACATCAGTGGTTGTTATGTAGGCACATAAAGGGAGAGAACCAAAAGTCATGTTGGCTGAGGACCTATTATGCACCAGGAACATGCTGTGTTTAATAGTTGTTAGTTCATAGTCACAGCATACCTTACGTCCATTGAACAAAATCCATGTGTTGGACCTGGAACTCACCACCAACTGTTTTCCGTTGCAACCATCTCTGAAGTGAGCATCCTTAGAGCTGAATTCTGAGTTGCATCATTCATAATCAGTAACGTTTTAGTGATCTGAGACTAGAACTGTTGACCTTTAAAATAGACTCAGTCCGAAGAACTTTGCCAAGATGATTAAGGTTACTGCCCTCCAGATGGAAAGCTGATCAGATCAAGTCAAATCTAAACAGGAGCATCTTAACATCAGTGTCCTGGGGCTGGGAAGGCAGCTCAATAGAATAAATGCCTGCCTGTGCGAGTGCAGGGTCCTGAGTTCAATCCCCGAAACCACCAAAAAAAATTAACCAATAGGATTAACATCAGTGTCCCTTCCCTAGCTAGGAGCACAGAGATGCAATTCCTTTGATTTTGAGGGTGAAGGAATGTGGGTGACCAGTGACTGTAGGGTGGCCTCAAGAAGCCAGAAAGGCAAAGAAAGAAGTTCTCCATGAGAGCCTCCAGGAAAGCACAAAGTGCTCGCCCTCCCAACACCTTGATGTTAGCCCAGGGAGGCCTGTGTCTGACTTCTGCCCCACAAAACTGTAAGGTGATCCATTTGTGTCACTTTAATTAATAATGCTAAGATTTCCTCTGAGCTTCTTAGAAGACAAAGCAGAAAAAAGAAACATGACATCTAGATTGTTATTAGAAAGAGGGAGACTTTTCAGCTCTTTCACTCTGAAACTAGTTTTGAGGAAAGAATTAGGGAAAAAAAATGTGGAGGATTTTAACTTTAGCATTTCTGAAAGAAAAAAAAAGAGAGAGAGATCCGGATCTCTACAGAGAGCCCAGGAGGGAGAATCCAGCACTGATGCATGTTACTTGCCTAATGCTCAGACTGAGCCACAAGCCAGGGAATTCCCCCGGAAGCCCGAACCAAAGGCAAGCGGGTTAGGAAGAGAATTTAATCATTCCACCTGAGTCACTACAGCTGACTTCCCAGCCGCTAATGCAGAATTCAGGGGCAGCAAAAAAGCCCGAAGCAGGCTTTGTTCCCATACAGCAGCATGGTGTCACCAGAAGAGCTTCTGCTTCAGGCCAGACAGCTCTGATGACAACCCAGTCTTCTCGGTCAACTGTGGTGCCCCAGGGGGCTGGGGATACTCACCCCCTTACAGGTAGAACAGATACACTATTCCCTGTGCAGATAGACCAGGTACACACAGGCCTAGGAGGACCTTCTCTCCAGGTCCCTGCCTCAGCCTTCCAGGCAAGTTCACCTGTCACCTACAGGAGTTGGCAGGACCTACAGAGCTACCTGGGAGAAGTCAGCCAGGCAGACCCAGTGTTCTGTCCTGCCCAAGTTCACATAGCAGATCAAGCACAGTCTTCTAGCTCTGGGGACAATGACCACTGACTCTCTTCCAACTCTCCACTGGAGGTTGCTGCCCCTGTGGGTACCAGGAGGTACTCACTGCCCCAGGGAGGGAGATATTGCTGATGTGCACAGTTCTGCCTAACTCACTGTCCCTTGGGTGTCTCTCTGTGCAGGGGATGCCCCTTTCTGCACGCCGGAGCAGCACAAGGAGTGTGCAGAGCCTGCTCTAGGTCAGTAGTGGGGAGTCTGTGGGAGTGGAGGCTTGGGTCAAAGTCATAGAGGTCATCTGAGTGGGAGGATGGAGTAGGAGGAACAAGGAGAGAGTCAGAGGAAAGAGGCTGGCCAGATGGAGTCTTTCTGCAGGGAGGGAAGAAGGTGGAAGGAAGGAGGGAAGGAAACCATGTAAGAGGGTTGGGGCTGGAAAGGGGGCCCAGGGATGGAAGAGAGGTACAGATGTGAAGATGAAGGAGTGGATTTCAGGGAGAACAAAGCATGCTAAAGGATGCAGTGGGCAGACAGAGATGAGAAGATTGGCACTGGAATATTGCAATACCTTCCGCCACACACTCCACTGATGTTCACTGGAGAAGCCAAGCTTATTCCAAAGCAATTCCATCTCCTCGTGCTCTCTGAGTCCAGTGCTGAAGGGAAGGCTGGGAGGTGAGGTCAGCTTTACATTCCATGTGCTCAGTGGAAGGCCTGCAGCACTCCCCTCCTCCTAGTAGCCTGCTGGGTTCGTGCTGCTTAGAAGGACTCTGCTGACCTGACGGTGAGGGACCGAGATGGCACAAATATGATGCAGCCCCAAAACTAGACTTGCTCTTCATGCACACCTCTCCAGACCTTGGAAATGGTTAATAATCAAGACAAGCAGAGAGAATTGTCAACAGTGTTCTCTTAAGTTCATTTTCAAGGAAGGGGAGGGGAGAGAGAGAGAGAGAGAGAGAGAGAGAGAGAGAGAGAGAGAGAGAGAGAATAGCTAGTGTCATCCATTGAAAGCAGAAAGGAGGAGAGAAAGGTTCCAGCTACTGAGAGGTTGTCTCCAGGGAACAAAGTTGAGGGCCCCAGCAGCAGAGGAGGAGCCCTGGCCTCCTGGTACAGTAGCTTCCCCCACCCATGTTGGCCTACTCTGTGAATAAGAACACTGAGTCTAGAAGCAGAGAAGGAAGCCATGGGAAGTTATGGGGCCAGGGACTGCCTTGGAGCCCATTCTCCAACAGTGACAGCACTTTCAATAATTTTTAGAGCTGGATGTAGTGGCGCACACCTATAATCACAGCACTTGGGAGGCTGAGGCAGGAGGATCATTACAAGTTCAAGATCAGCCTGGGCTACAAAGTGAGCTCAAGGCCAGGCTAAACTGCATTGTGAGACGCTGTCTCAAAAGGACAAAAAATAATAATTAATTAAAGGATGACATGACAGGACTATAACTGGAAACCCAAAGCAAATAAGGCCAATCTGCAACCAAAACCCAGGTCCTCTTCCTCCAAGATTCCTCCACCCTTCTTCCTCAATCAGCACTCTGGGCCAGCTCACTTAGCTGCTAGACTCCAGCTGCACTGGATCAGAAGTCCCCACCCCTACACCTGACTAAGACCATCCCCCATCCCTCTCCCTTCCAGGTCTGCTGGCAGAAAAGGACAGCAATTACTGTCTCTGCAGGACGCCCTGCAACCTGACCCGCTACAACAAAGAGCTCTCCATGGTGAAGATCCCCAGCAAAACATCAGCCAAGTACCTGGAGAAGAAATTTAACAAATCAGAAAAATATATCTCGTAAGTTGAATGGGCATTGTGGGGAGGAAATAGGAGGGAATGATCAGGAGATTGAAGGCAAAAGTAAGCAGTTAGTCCGATTTAGCAAAGATTAACTGAGCACCTGAGTGTAACACACACTCAAAATGCAAAAATGACAGCCCCTGAGGAGTTTGCTGTCCCCTGGGAGGACAAGCACATGACCAAATACCACATCTGCACATGCACATGGGAAGGGAAACTGATAGACGACCTATAGCTTGTGTGGAGATGAGGAAAAATTTGAGAGATTTTCAGGATGCATAGGAGTTTTCCAGGCAGACCCTGCATGTTGTTTCCTTGGCCTGCCATATTTTCCTGTCACTGTCTACTTGACTGGTTCCGCCTGTGCAAATCTCTGTTTAAATGGCATCTTCCCAAAAGGCCGGCCTGATAGCTCAGTGGACTAAAGAGCCTGCTTAGACAGAGTGCAGCAGGCAGGGTGCCATCCCCAGGCCTGCCATGCCAGCCCTGCCTGCAGGGCATGTTGAGAAGGTAATTGAGACTGGGTGTAATCCCAGTGCTTGGGAAGCTGAAAACGGGAGCATCACTATGCTACATAGTGAGACCCTGTAGACCCTGTAGACCCTGTCCTAAATACAGAAAAATAAATAAATAAGCCAACAAACAACTGGCATCTCCCCAAACAACTAGATTCTGTTTCCTCCTGTTAATTTTCTGTCCAGTGACTCTGGTTTTTCCTTTACAGTACTGATTGCGGTATGTAATTATGTGTTCCAGTTGTAATTCTTTGTTTAATTACCTGCCTGCCCCACTAGATCTAAACCCTCCTGAGGGAAGGAGCCTCTCCTTTTTTGTTCTCTGCTGTCAAGTATTAGTGAAGCATCTGATAGAGTCGGTGTTCAAAAAGTATCTCTATTTTTTTTACAAATTTTTACAAATTCATTCATTTTAGAAATGAATGAATAAATGAATGGCCTGGAGGAGGGTGTCCCTGCAGAGGCTCAGGAGGGAGAATTGGCACAGGGCAGACAAGAGACAAAAGGGAAGGTGGACATATCAGAGCAAGAGGATCTGTTAGGCTGAGCTGGGGTAGGGGGTGGTTGTAGGGTGCAGGGGGTGGACTTTAACCTAAAAGGACAGGAAGCCACTGAAGTGCTGGAAAGTACTGAGCTTGGGGCCAGGGAGATACCTCAGTAGAATAAGCACCTGCCTGGCAAGTGCAAGGGCCTGAGTTCAATCCCTGGTTCCACCAAAAAACAAAAAGTACTGCGCTCACATTTATATTCTAGACCACTTCTCTCCAATAGAACATTCTGCAAAGATGTAAATATTCTACATCTGTGGGACCCAATATGGTAGCCACTAGACAGGTGAGGCTGGCAGGCATTTGAACTGTTACCCATGTGACCCTAGAACTGGCTTGCAATGTCATTCCAGTTGGATCTAAGTGAGCCTTTTAGAAGGCCCTTCGGATGGCAGTAGCGGAGATGGGAGGACCGCAAAATGGGGAGGAGGAAGCCTGTTAGAAAGCAGTAGCCATAAATCAGGCAAGACACCGCGAGGCTTTGAGTGTGACCCTTCTCATTTCGTGCATGAAACGAGAAGGGTCTGCTCCTCTTGTCCCCAGCCACTCCCTCCTGCAGCCACACCCGCTCCAGGGACAGCTTCTGCTCGGCAGGCCCGGAACAGGGGTGTGGAGGGCAGGAGGAGCCACACCAAAATAGATGCAGATGTAGGAGATAGATGCCAGGCCCCACGGCTTAGTGGCATTCTTTGGGCAGTAAAGACTTTTACTGTCGAGATATCTTTCATTAACACACTTGCCTGCAGAAGAGGAGCCAAGGGAGTCCGTTTCACTTTTTCTAGAACTTTCCCTGCAAGCCAGACATCAGTGGCCCCCTAGAAATTCACCCTGACTTGGCAAGACCAGCGTAGGACTTCCCACCAGGAAAAGCTACTTTGCAGCTGCAGGAGGAATTTGGAGGTTCCTGGGACTCGGCAGGGCCACCAGCAGGTTCAGCCTGTTTGAGAGATTGCTGAACTTGTTTTCATGCTAAGGACCCAGGCGGGGTCTTGGGGTTCAGAACCTACAAACCAGGCAGGATTCCTAGAAAGAATGTCAAGAGAGGTGTTGAGACAGGGCAAAGAGGACAGCTGACAGAAGCCGGAAATCCTGGGCTGCAGTCAGAAACTCAGTTTCGAGCTCCAGCGCCACCCTCAACCCTTTCTGCCTGGGAGCAAGCTCCCCAGGCCTCTGCTTCTCCACTGATCCCTGAGATAGCTGAAATCAAAGATCCCTGTGAATGCCGATGGTTCTAACCATGCGTGTTACTGAATATTCCTCCGCAGAGAGAACATCCTTGTTCTGGATATATTTTTTGAAGCTCTCAATTACGAGACAATTGAGCAGAAGAAGGCGTATGAAGTCGCTGCCTTACTTGGTAAGTCAGAGTCTGTTGCACAAATTTCCACAGCTCTTAGGGGATAGGGAGGAGGGAGTGAGGGCGGGCAGGTGGGCGGGAGGCAGGCAGACACATAGATGTATAAGCTTCTGTAGAAGTTGGGCCTCGTAATTTACTAATTTTTCCCTCTTTCTTTGCATGGCTCCTGGTCCAGAGAGAGGAGAATCCCAGTGTGGGAGATTTGGGGCCCAGTTCAATCAATAGTCTAGGGCTTCAACACACACACACACACACACACACACACACCCTGGAGGGTGAACACAAAAGCCCCTCAGGACCTTTCCAGCCCTGCCTCTTAGACTCCAGTCTTCTGCTCCTAAACCAGAGTCAGATTCCTGAGGCCTGGAAAGAGGAAAAGGCTGACACACTCAAGGTCCCTGATGAAACCCAAAGTCAAGAGCAATCTGCCTACATTGAGACCAGGTATTGCCCTCCAGACCAAGAGTCTTTTGTCAAACACAAAAAGAAGGGCTGCTCCTCCCAGATGTTCCCTGACCTAACTGCCACCCACATATGGTCACACTAGCTGCTGGCCCCACACACACATACTGGACACTGGGAATGAATTTAACCCTGTCCACACTCTCAAGACCCCTGAGAGCGGATGGCCCCAAGGACCTACCCCTCAAGCCTTTCTGCCATTTTTCACCCACTCTGAAGAGGGGACACCAAGTCTGCTTCCTACAAAGAGAATCAGCTGCTGTCTCTGTGACTCAACCAGGTGACAGTAGCATCCTAGGAGGGGTAGACACCCTCGACCTAGATACACAGGAGAAAGAGCTGGCTGTAAGCCCAAGGGCTGCTATCTGTACACAGCCACCAGGATGTAGGCAGCAGGCTTTTTGCCGTATCTCATCTGCAGAATGGGTTTCATATAGCCACTTTAGGAATTTGCCATGATGGTTAGACATGATAAGACTTCTAGCCCAGAGAAAGGCTATAAATAGCAGTTTCTGACACTTAGAGAGCCATCAGCCCCACCTGGTACATCCAGGGACCACCTGACCATTTTCCAGGAGGCCAGTAACAGGCCCTAGCTCAGTGCCAGATGGGTTGAGGTAGCCACAGAGATCATTTTGGCTGAAAGTACTGAGTCAAGAGATTCATACCCTGGGGGTCACCATAGAGTGAGGTCTGCAGGTGATTCAAGACTTATTTATTTCCCTCCTCCACCAAAGGCTCAGCCTCTCTCTGTCTCTGTCTCTGTCTCTGTCTCTCTCTCTATCTATCGATCTCTTTGTCTCTCTTGGTCTCTTTGTCTGTCTCTATCTGTCTCTCCCTCTCTCTGTGTCTCTTTGTCTGTCTCTGTCTCTCTGTCTGTCTCTGTCTCTCTGACTCTCTCTCTCCCATCTGTCTCTCTGTGTCTCTCTCTCTCTCGCTCTCGCTCTCGCTCTCTCTCTGTCTCTCTCTCTCTCTAATCAAGGAGGGCCTGAGCTCTGAATCTGTCATGTCTGTATCAAATACGAGCAGGAGCTTCTTTCCAGCATACTGTTCCCACCCAGAATAGCCTGCTGAGGAATCAGGCTGCCATCTGTAGCTCCTGTGACGCGAGCATGTGCCACTCACAAAGCCGCAGCCATCCAGCCTGGCCTTCTTCACCCCCACCCGCAGTCAGTGCATCACACAGCGCAGACACTCACCCACCCAGGCACACCCCCCACCCTATGCACAGATACCCACCTGTGGGGCCGTGTGCCACACACAGTGCACAACTACATGGCCCCATACATCAGCCAGACATAGCTCCAGAGACACACCATGCACACAGCAAACTTGACCAGACACACTGCAGGCCAGGACACTGCACACCTCTTGCCTCCTCCTGCAGAGCACACTTTCCCCACCTCCACAAGCCTATACTCACACACACACACACACACACGTGGTATGCCCAGACAGAGGTGGCCACCCACCTAAAGCCATCATCAGCCAGATACTCTGCCTGCTTCTAGACAAACACAGGCAGACACCTCACAACCCAGCATACACCCTTCTCCATGCCACTGTGTTCCAGCTGTGCTGCACACAAATACATCTCTCACAACTTCTGTACACATTTAGACATGAACATTCCCCAGGAAGCCTGTGCTAATGACATTAGAGAGCACAACCAGAGAGGCAAGACATGAAGGGGAGCACGACCAAGTTTCCTCCCACCATCTATTCTTTTCTACTGGAATGAGAGTGCTGGGCTTCACCCAGCCATATGCAGAGGAAGAATGAGGCAATCTGCCCACCAAGAAGTCCTCAGACCAAGAGATTAGTCTGGGATCTCCAGGAGGACTGGAGACCCACCCCCAACAGTGCCCCCCATGGCCACCCCTCTCCTTGGCCAGCCCAGAGGTTGACAGCCAGAGAGCAGAGTTGAAAGAGACTTCACAGTTCAAACCTTTCACCCTTTCTGATCACCAGCACCAAAATCCTCTGGAGGCAGGGCTTGTGAGGTCAGAGTTCATCAAAGCCACAAGCTGGCGGGTACTCTGCAGGCCCTGAGCCCTGTGCTTTATATGCTGCCTCTGGAGCAAAGGGGCTTCAGCTTCTGAGGGACCTGGACCCTTTGAGGGCCTCTTAAGAGCTGCCAGCTATCAGGTTACAAATGCCCAGGCACACATGCACCTTGCCATCTATTCTACTGGGTTCCCAAGCAGAGAGAATCTCCCAAGAAAGTGGTTCTCAATCACCAGAGAACCATCACTGGGATTTTAAATTTTTTACATTCATCCCTCAATCCCAAAGATTTTGATTCTTTAGTCCCAACATATATCTGGGTATCTACATGGATGACAAGGTTCCCAGGAGAACTTGGTGCCAGGAGCCAGAAGAAAAATTTAGCAAAATTTTGACCCTGGGGTCCCCTACATGTCAGGGTGAGAACCTCTGCTCTAAAAAGAGACTCTGTTGAGCATTGACTCTTGGGTGGAAAAAGAGTCAATGGAGAAAGAGTCACCTTCTGTGTCCCGATCCCAGGAGTGGAAGGTGCCCCTGCCAGGGTTGGTGGGTGGGCATGTCTGTCTTGATGCTGTTCCTGAGACCCTCACCTGAGCAGTGACATATGGGCCTCAGGCTAGACTGTGCCACAGTCCAGGGCAAGGACCCTCATCTCATCCCCACTCCCAGCACAGAGCCACACAGGATGCAGTCAGAGTAATCCCAGTCCTGGGGGTTCCCCTAAACCCTGCTGGACGCTGCCATGCTCAGCTTTCAGAGCTGCTCAGTGAGGTGACAAGGGTCAGGCTCCTGTGGAGAGGCACAGTTAGGAGTGCTGGCTTCCCCCTTCTTGGTCAGATCGCCCCCTTCTGGAAGCCACATAAGTAAAACCACCTTTTTGGTCTTTTCCTTCTCTCCAGGTGACATCGGTGGTCAGATGGGGTTGTTTATTGGTGCTAGTATCCTTACAATACTAGAGCTCTTTGATTATATTTATGAGGTAAGTGTTGGGGTTGCTCTTGGGGAAATGGCCATACCCTCCTTCTGCCCCCCCAGGTTTAGGACCAAGGTATGACGCAGGCAAAAGCCTTAGCCCACCCACCCATAGCCTGCTCCTCCTGCTGGGACTCCACATTATCATCACCTGATCCTAGGCCCAGGAGTGAGAGCCGGCTCTTAAGGATGGCAAGTGTAAGAGAAAGGAAGCCATGGTCCTAGTCCTATGGGGTTGTGGGGGGAGGGGATCTACCCAGCAGCAGAGGATGGGAGAAATGGGAAGAAGAGGCCAGATGGTGCAGTCCTGCCCTGAGGCCCTACTGGAGTGAGCGTTCATGTCTATACACACTTATGCTACACACACCACACATCTATGGCCAGGCCAATCTCCACCTCATCCGTGTCAGCGAGGACACAGTGCTGCATTCCAGCTGCCTGCCTGCTCTCAGTCTGGGGAGGCATCTCCCTCAAGAGGCAGTCAGAGCAAAGCTTCTGGAAGTTTCTCAAACAGAGACAGTAGCCTCTGCATCCAGAGCTCCCGGAGTTTGCCAACCCCTGCCGTGCCCATGAACCCAGCCAGAGGTCACGCTCCTGGGCTCTGCCCTGAGCATTAATCCGGGCAAAGAGCACCAGAGCTCAAGCAGCCACCCGAAGAGCAGCACTGAGTGAGCTAACTCACCTGTGCTAGGATATACAGCCCGCAGACAGTCTGTGCCAGGCCCTGTCCCGACACCATGAGCTCCTCCAGCCGCGCGGCTGTGCGACAGCAATGCCCTTCACCCCACTGCACCTCCACAACACAGCACAGAAGTCCCAAGGAGCACCCAGACCTGCAGATGCCACTGGACCTCCTGACCCCAGGCCAGCACTCAGGGGCCGTAATTAGCATTCTGCCACACACGGAAGGCCGCTATGGCCCAAGGCCCCTGGCAATCGTGGGGAGCTGTGGGAGCCCTGTGGCCAGGCTCCTCTGGAGACTTTCTGCATGAGGATCCCAAACCATATTTTATTTTGCTTTGCTTATTAACTCTTATGAAGAGCTGGGCAAAGTTATGGCAAGTGACTCACATCAGATAATGTAGTAAAGACTACTTTCAATTGTTAGGAATAAAACATTATGAACCCAGGAGTGGTCTCACCATGTGAAATAGGGAGTTCTCAGGCCGTGAAAGGGAATAACGGTCTGTCCCCCAGGCCCAGCCTCAGAAAGGGGGTCCCTGGCTGCTCCTGGGACCAACAGGGAGCCAGTCATATGCTCCCACTTACCTAACTCTCTGTCACAAGAGAACGCCATCCACGCTGCATCCAGGCCTCCTACTCTTTTCCAAGCTTTCTGTCCAGCAAGAAAAGCCCATGCCAGCCAAAGGTTGGGTTGAGACCCACAGGCTCTTGGAGTCATCTGCTGGGTTGGGCTCTGGCAGTGGCTTGTCAGCCACAGCCCAGTCACTACCCCTGGGGCTCCACAGTGGTGCCTCATGGAGGGAGTCCCTGTGCTTTTGTTCCATCCTCCTGGCCTGACCACATGCTTCCTGATTTTTTTTCAGCTGATCAAAGAGAAGCTATTAGACCTGCTTGGCAAAGAGGAGGATGAAGGGAGCCATGATGAGAATGTGGTAAGGGCACTTCCTGGGTTGGCTTGGGAGTCGTTGGGTCACTGTGTGGTTTGTAAAGCAGACCCTGCAGCCAGGCAGGAGACCTGCGACTCATGGCACCAGTCCCCATGGCTTGTGATGCCCTGTCAGTCCTCAAATCCAAGGACACTCCAACTGCACCTGAGCCCAAAGGCCAGTAGGTGAGCCATGGATGTAGCTGGTCCCAGGAGGGTCATACTTGGCCCAGGACAGCTTTTCCTAGGCCACAGGGCCACTTCCCTCATCTCACAGCCTGGAAAGAGCAAGACTGGCTCTTACAGGTCTACTTCCTTGTTCTCTGGTGGTGGCAAAATGCAACCAGAGCATTGCCCACGTTTGTCCCATTGGAAGGGATCAGAATATGGGGCTCTGTGAAGTTGGTAGCAGCACCAACATCCATGGTACATGTTGGGCACTGTCTTGAGTGCCCACGTGGACCATCACTGCAGCTACACTATGACCTTACAGAAAGGTGTGTCTTAATCTTCCTTTTGTATTTGAGGCCATTGAGAGGCCAGTGTCACACAGCTTTTGAGCTTCAGAGCTGGAAAGCAGGCACCTCTTACCACTCATTTGACCTCTTCCCTCTTACCAGGCAGGCAACACCTCCTCTGGCTGTCCATCATTCTCTTTCCAAACTCAATCTACTCCTGGCTAAGGTCTTGCCTGGCTAGTGAAAGTGTTACCAACTTTCGCTCCCCAATGAGGGATGCCAAATCAGCACCTAAAAGGATACAACTATTGAGTAGCTGTTGTCCCCACCCACAAAGTCAACCTATTTGAATGGGCCCAGCACTTGTTTCTTTATGAACTCCCATTCCAGATGTTCCAGATGCTGTCCCTATCTAACTCCTAGGCTAAAAATCTTGCTTTGATCTCTCAGTTCCAGCATCTTCTGCAGAAGGACAGAAGACCACTTCTGGGGAAAGAGAGGGCAGTGTAGAGTGGCCCGGAGTCTGATCTTAGCTGGCCTGCTGGATCCCAGCCCTACTTTTCCCTACTTCCTAGCTGGGAGGTTTGGTAACTTGGGGGGGGTCAAGTTACTAAACTTTCCTGAGCATCTGCATAAGATCATAGGGTCTCAGAGAGTTGTCATGGGGATTAAGAGAGATGATGCTGATAAATGGATCAGTACAGTATCTAGTGACAGGAAGTGCTCAGCAGTTGGTGGCTACCTCTATACCCTCACCTGCTTTCCTGTCTTCAAAATATCTTGGACTGTGGCAGCCCTCCATCCTGCTCCCCCATACACACACCTGTCCACGTCATATCTCCCCAAAATTCCTGGCACAGTCTCCTGGCTAATCTCCCTGCTCCCATCTCTCCTGACCTGCACGCTGCCGCCTGCAGCCACCTGAAGACCTGGAGCCATATTAGCCTCCCTCTGCTCAGGGACTCACAGCTACTGCTCCCTGGGGCCCTCAGCCTAAAACTCTGGTCAGCTCTAGTCCTGAACTGTAGGAGCTCCAACCCTTTCTGCTTGATCCTGCATTGAATTTTTGCTGAATGAATGATCGACACACACCTCCCTTTCCCCTGCAGAGTACTTGTGACACGATGCCAAACCATTCTGAAACTATCAGCCACACTGTGAATGTGCCCCTGCAAACGGCCTTGGGCACCCTGGAGGAGATCGCCTGCTGACACTGCTCGGGCTACCCAGCACCCTCCAAACAGACCTTAAGGCCCAAGACCCAGGACAGGGGACAGCAAGCTCAGGTGGAATGGCCCCTGATGACGGAAAGAAGCAAGAGCCCCCTATGCACACATTGCAAACTTCTACCAAACCTCGCTCCAGCCACGTCTGACATGAAGAAGCGTCCCTGGGCCCCGCTGTGCGTCCCTCATAGGAGAGATGAGTCACACTCCGGAACTGTCCCAGAACCAACCTGCCATCACATCTCACTGCCAGATGTATAAAGCACCTGCATGCTCGGACTTCTTACAGCGCCACTCTCCATCTGTCTTGTACATGGCTCCTCCATGTGGTTTCCAGCATCCACTCTGGCCTGTGTGCAGTGGGACCAGATTCCAACTGGTCTGTGAGGCCAGGCTGGAGTCAAAACTGCACAATCGAGAGGAAAATCACAGAACTCGACTATGTTGGATCCTTGTGTAGTTTGTGAAGGTTCTTATTCTGTCCACAAACCCCTCCCCCCCCAAATGGGCCATGGGGATCTGGCACTGAAGGTGACCAACACCAACCTCCCCCCAACCCCAGCACCTGTGAAGGTGACACAGTGACCTGGGTGACCCCAGTATCATCCATGGAGCTACATCATTCTTCTCTCCCTGACACAGCTTGTACAGTCTGATTCTTTTTTATTTGGGGGACTTTTTTGTTTGTCTGTTGGAGGTTTATTTTGTTTTGCTTCGTTTTATCGTTTTGGGTTTTGATGTTCTGAGGTTTGGTTTGCTTTTTTCCATTTTCTTTGGAGTTTATTTATTCGTGCTTCAAATCACAGTCATATTAAAAGCTGGTCTTGTGGAAATGGCTGTGTCACTTCTGCCTTTTCTTCACATCCACGACTCTGTCCCTGAGAGTTCAGCAAAGAGCTAGACCAGCCAGGCCAAGGCTGCTAATATGTAGCCAACATTTCATGCCATAGAACCTCCCTTTACAAAACACACACACTGTATTAACTCATAAGTCTCACAAAAATGGTTGATCACAAGCTTGTTGATGATTTCATGACCCACTAACAGGTCTCAGCCGTGTTCTGCAGGATGTCATCCCAGACTATGCAGGAGAGACAGACAACCCACACCTGAAAACCATCAAGAGGTCTCCTAGGCCCTCTGCCTTCTCTCTGTGACCCTGACTACAGCCAACCCATCATGTGCCTTGGGGCTGGACAAGCTCCCAGCATGGTCTTCCTCCCAGGCTGTGGCCTATCTCTCCCCCACAGTCCTTCCCTCCCGCATCACACCTACTCGCCTTGTCCTTCCAGAGGTCACCTTGCAACCTTGCCTCCATGTTCCTGAGAGGGTGTCCAGGTAGCCAGGAAATAAGTACATGCCTCTCCAGCTCAAGGGGGCCATGACCTTTTAAGCTTCTTGGTAGCAAATGAGAGCTTCCTTTTTGGGCAGAGCCCTTGTTCTGACACCATGGTAGTCGCATAATAGTCACCTGAACCTAACCACCAACTCAACCACTCCCAACCAGGCTCTCCCAAAAACAGTAAAGGAAGGCTGACAGTCACTTGTGGCTTCCCTTCAGACACAGGAAGCTCTGGCCAGACCAGTGTTCGTGGCTTGATTCTACTATCCATCCTGTTTCCTTCCTCCTCCTCTTCCTCTTCCTCTTCCTCTTCACCCCCCTTTTTTCTTAATATTTTTCTCCTTATTCTCCTCCTACTACCATCTTCTCCTCTTTCTCCTTCTTCCCCTCTCCACTTCCCTCTCCTAAGGACCCATAGACACAAAGAAAAGTTACTGCTGCTGCCCCATGTGATGAATTAAAAAGCGACCCAGACCAGAGTGAGCAGCCCTGACCATGACCTTCTTCTCTCCATTAGCTATGGGCCTATAGTGAGACCCTGCCCCTCCCTGGGCTCAGCTCCTCAATTTTAGAATGGACACAATGTGTATGTGAAGGGAAGATGCAGGCCCAGGTGATCCCCTGAAGCCCTTTCAGACTCCTTGTGCTATGACAGGATCACTTCCCCCACCCGATGGGACAAGTGGTAAGTACCTGTGGCACTCACACACCAGCATGGCAGGGAGACAGAAGTCATGGGAACTGCAGAGAGCAGCTGGGACAGAGGGCCCCATGCTTCCTTCCCCAGACACTCTCAGCTGGGGTTGCCTCAGCTGTTCACGAAGCTGGGCTTTAATCCTTACAAAGAGTGCAGTGTCTGGCAGGGGCACTGTGTTGTCTGCTGTCACTGGGGTAGCAAATAGCCACTCTGTCATTTAAGATGGCACAGAGGTATTGTCTTACCATTCTGTAGGTGAGAAGTCTGAGATGGGTCTCACTGGGCTGAAATCTAGGTGTCCACAAGACCACATGGCCCTTGGAGAATCTATTTCCTTCCTCCTCCCACCCTCTGGAGGCCACCTGACTTCCAGAACCAAGGCCCCTTCCAGCCACGAGGAATCAAGTCCTTCTTGCATCCCCTACTCTGTCGCCCCACCCCCACCCCCAACCACATTTCCCTCAAATTCAGACCTCTGTCCTACCTCCATCCTGCCCTGGACATTACTTTGTGACTCTGTTGAGCCTACCAGATAATCCAGAAGACTTTCTCTCTCTACTAGGTTAATTTAGCACATCTTCAAAAATCCCTTTTATCATGTAAGGTTGCCTACACACAAGTTCCAAGGATTAGGACATCATTTTTAATTTTTTTTAATTTTTAAAAAAATGAAAAAAAAGAAAGAAAGAAAGAAAGAAAGAAAGAAAGAAAGAAAGAAAGAAAGAAAGAAATGTTTAGGGGCTGGAGAGATGGCTCAGTGGAATAAGCGCTTCTCTGGCAAGTGCAAGGGCCTGAGTTCGATCCCTGGTTCCAGAAAAAAAAAGAAAGAAAGAAAAAATTGATTAATTAATTAATTAATTGATACAGGGTCTCACTATGCAGCTCAGACTCATAGTGATCTTCCTGTCTCAGCCCCACCCCAGTACTGAGATTACAGGCATGCACCACCACCCCTAATTTTGGTGACTGGGCACGTGGTACTGAGGATTGAAACCAAGTCCCTGTGCTTGCCAAGCAGGCACTGAGAGCTATCTCCCCAGCCCAGATGTGGGCATCTTTAGGGATCACTATTCTGCTTACCACAGGGCCTTCGGGCTGTATCATCTTTCCAAGAAGCAGGCGAGAAACTGGCCTAGTGTCCCCCAATAAGTCAGTAGCTGGGCACTATACTCTGAATTCCCAGGCTCCCAATTCCATTTGTTAGCTTCCCAAGATAACTCACTGTCTTACTCTTCTCCTGTTGTTGGTACAAATACCCAACACTCAAAATGAGGGAAGGAAAGGTTTATTTAGCTCACAGTTACTGGAGGTTTCATAGTTTAAAACAGCTTGAATTGCATAGCAAGACCTCAGAGCCTTATTTGCTCAAGAGAGAGGGTCAGTGCCCCCATCTTCACCAACCATCTCCTCTCTGTGCGAGGCAGCCTCAATCACAGACACTGCTGCCCTGCACTACTGGGTCTGGAGGCGAGAACACGCGCGGATGACCTGCTCCACACCTCCAAGAGACCGCAGGCCGAGCTCATGCTGCCAGTTTAAGTTTGAGCCTCTCTGGCCCCGCCCCTCAAGCCCCGCCCTGGTCTTCCCCCCCATCTGCTCTGTGACTTATATGAGGCTTTGCGGGTACTACTACACACAAACCATAACACTCACAAAAGATAAGGAAGTCTGAACGAGATCATTCTTACAGACTTTGCCAGGGGATGGGAGTTCACCTCCAGACACAAATTCAAGCCTCACTACATCCCACTGTACAATGTCCTGCAGGGGTTAGACTGTCAGCTGCAGAAGGACGGGGCCTCAATGGTGGCCTCAGACTGCTCCTGTTGGGGACAGGAACCAAATGAAAAGCCTGGTCAAATAGTTAGGAGTCTATTTGATCATTCTGCCTTGTTCTAGCTTAACAGCTTCATAAATTTGTTAAAAATCTATAGCTTAAGTTGCAATTTGAACTGCTTCATTGAATTCCTGGCTTCCTTTCAGGAAACAGCAACAAAAAAGGAAGATCAATTTGTGATGGAGAAAAGAATATTTGAACATATTCGGGTTGCTTTGGGCCCCCTATCTATCTATCCCTCCTGATCTAGGGATCTCGGCGTTCTTCAGCTTTGACCAGGCCTATATAGTTAACCTGTCGAAAGGAAGGAGGGAAGGAAGGAAGGAAGGAAGGAAGGAAGGAAGGAAGGAAGGAAGGAAG